CTCTTATAATCTAACGTTGCAATTCTCAAGTTTTAAGGGGAGGCACGATATCAGGCTGCGTGTTTCGCTTCTCGACGATTCCAGAAACTCAGTTGCTTTCAATATCGTTTCACGCATGCCAGACGTATCTCTGCTTGTCCGCAACACAGGGTCGCTTCCTCCTCGATTGCATTTTGGGTGAGGTGGAGCCGCCACTAGAGGTCGCTTACGCTCAGCAGGTTGCAGTTGCTTGAGTAAAAGGTGATGAGAGCAACATCGAATGTGCCGCACTCGCGGCGTTTCTGGCATTGTGAAGCAGCTGGCAGAGATCGCATACACTTACCTCGCACCAGCACCAGAATCGATGGAGATGCGTGTCCCAATCGACAGTAATTCAGTTCCGATGAACAAGTACGTCACCTCCCTCGGTTCGCGTCCAGTTGGTAAAGTTTTTTTACGTCATCAGTCAGGTTACGATGTGCCCAGGTTTGGTCACGCTTCGACGACGCGGTTCTACCGACGGTTCTTACGGCATTGCGAAAGTGACTCATCCGATGGGTCGGTAGTTAGGCCTGAGGACGACTGGCACATAGGAAGGAACACGAGGGACGACGACAAGAGATTCTCCTTTTTGTCCGATGCAGCTTGTCGTTCAACATAGGCTGAAAACCATCACTCCATGAAAAGAACATCGGATTTTAGTTTGCGTGAAAGATCAACTGTTTCAGATTGTTTCTGCCTGCAACACGATTCGAGCCTTTGAAGTAAAGAATAGCATAACAGACTCAAGAAGATGGCCCGTTCACCGATTTTTGTAACCCTTTAAACGATTAACGTTTTCTGTCTCACAGACTTCCAAAAAATAGTATTTTTAGTGTTGCTGGCTGTCGCTCGATTCATATTTCTGGTTAGACAGAAACATAAATTTAAATACTGCCAGCTGTTATTTTTTCTCAGTCAGATCGTCTGGATATCTTCGTTAGGTTGGAGCGAATTTATTTCGGGGAATCGATTGTCCAGCGCAGCATGGTCAGTATCTTCACGTTTCTAAATCAGAATATTTTTGTTGGCGGAGTGAATGCGTTTTGAGTAAGTGGTTTGCATGCAATTCATATCCTCGTACTCGACAGATCTTTGCCGCAACAACCTTGACGTAAACGTTTGAAACGAGACACCGTCGTGTCATTGGATTGCGTGCGTGCAATTCAACGGCTAAACTGAGTCTCGTATGAAGATGGAAACGGTAACAGCGATGAACAGATGTCGCCAGTTGTACTAAAAACACGACGGTAGGATTATCGACGTTCCGTACCATCGAATTTCTTTGACCGTCTATCTGAGTCACACAACACCCGTGCTCTCGATAAAGCGTGAGTGTTTTTCCGAGGTGCTGGCGACGGCTACGCTTCTCATTACACAAACGGTCAGCATTCGACTTGAAATCGGTTTGAACCCAGCGCCAAGGCGCCGACCCTTGAGCTGTGTTCGTCTGGTGATTATCCTCTAATAAGTCGGGTAGACCCTCTTCGCCTCTAACACAAGCAGAAGATTTACAAATATGCATTAGGTTCACAACAAGCACTATTTGGAAAGGCTTGCAGTCGTATTCATTCTGTATGGGTGCTCGGAATCAGCAAAGTTTCGAGCCAGGCCAAATGCGCGTGCATTTTCGAGGTGACACGCACGTGCAACGAGACGATACGCATGTAACGGAGGAGGGTGGAGGTGTGGTACCAAAGCTGCTCTCCAAAAAAACTTTCTAAAGCGATTTCCTGGAGAAATTATTTCGCATGAAGAGAAGGAACAGAATTCTTAGCATCTTTTAATCGGCACACTATTGGCTACGATGACATGTCTTACCAAGATTTTGGAAGTACAA